GATGCAGCCGTGCAGAACTGGAAGGAAAAGCTTCATCGCCCCTTCAGTTAGAGAATGAGACTCCCGAGGGCCGTCAGACACTAGAAAATCCATGACTAGATTTCCACAGAGTGGATCCCCCCAGACAGCCTTTCTCTCACGGCCGGTGAGATGCAGGTTGGGGAGAGGACTGACGTGCCCTGGAGCACAGAAGAGAGAAGCCTTGAGTGACTTCATGGTCTCCAGGCACAATCAGAATTTCCTTAAAAAATAAATAAAAATATTCACAGGCGATCAGCCCAGTGGGATGCCAGCGATCAGCTAGCACACCTCCAGGGCTTTGCCGTCTTGCCAGCAGGAGAGTGATGCTTGAAAACCAGCCACTGAGAGGCTCCGCTCAAGCAGGTGGTGGCACACATCTATAGTCCTAGCAACTCGGGAGGCTGAGGCAGGAAGATCGCAAGTTCAAGGCCAGCTGCAGCATTTCAGCAAGGCCTTAAGCAACTGAGCAAGAGACTATCTCAAAATTTAAAAAATAAAATAGAAATGTCTGGGTATGTGGCACAGTGGTAAAGCCCCTCTGTGTTCAACCCCCAGTACCAAATAAATAAAATAAGATAGATAAACTCACTCCAACGGACCCCCACCTGATGCTTCAAGTAGCAATGGCTGACATAAAAACAACTTCAAGAGAGAGGAGATTATGCAAATCAAAATCTTTCTTATAGAAGTCAGCACACATGCCCCATGGGTTGTTTTCAGTCATAAAGAAGAATGGAATCCTATCATTTGCAGAAAAATAGATGGAGCTGGAGGATGTTATTTTAAGTGAAATAGCCAGATGTGGAAGGCCAAATCCCTCCTGTTCTCCCCCCTGTGGAAGCCCATGAAGTGATCTAATGATAGAACAGGGATCAGTGGAACCTGGGGAGGGTGACAAGGGAGGGGGCAGATGAGAACGGGAAGTGGTTTCAAACACATGTTCTGTGTTCTGCAGCACAGAGGCGTGGCTGGAGCTTACCGTTCAGCTGTTAATGGATTTTATGAAGATCTTGAAGAAAGTAGTCCAATGGCCCAAACACAGGTGACCAAAGACAGAAGGACTGACTACCCTGATTTGACCACAACACACCATGCACGTGTTGAAATATCACACGACCCCATCAAGTAGGCAACACATTTTATGAACAACTTTTCTTAGCCAGGTGCGGTGGTACATGCCGGTAATCCCAGTGCCTCAGGAGGCTGAGCAGGAGGATCACAAGTTCAAAGCCAGCCTCATCAACTTAGCAAGGCTATAAGCAATTTAGAAAGACCCTGTCTCTAAATAAAATATAAAAAGAGCTGGGGATGTGGCTCAGTGGTTGAGTATCCCTGGGTCAATCCCTGATACAAAGGGGGAAAAAACACCTCTTCTTAAAGATTTGACAGACGTGGAATGATATTATGGCCAGAGAGATAGTCTTTGGAGATGGATGGCATGTTTTGCTGAATACACAAAAAGCATCCCCAGCAAAATCAAAACTAAAGAAGACGACCTTCCTAGACACCCCTTTCCTTTGTTTTAAGCACAGATGACATTTGTCAGCTGTCCCCAGTTGTGTGTTGACACCACCCACACATTCTAGGTGGTTCTCCATGCGTCCTGGCCTTCCTTGGCTTTCTCAGGGCTTTCTCTGTAGCGCTCTGGCTGAGACAAAATATCCATATTCTGTGCTTCCTGATTTTATGTCCCCTGGAGAAGCTTGGATAACAGCTTCTGGGTGCTCTCCGTTGCCTCTGGACTTGCACTGAGTCTCTTTCCTTCTCGCTCGGTCCTCACCACCAATACCACGCAGTGCCCTCTTTCCCTCCCTCCTCTGTCCATCAGTCCACGGCCCATTAGGCTCTGAGTCTGTAGGAGTCTCTCCACTCTGCTCCATCTACTCAGCCATCAGTTGGCACAAGCCGTTCGTGGATTGCATGAGGGTCACCGCGCTTGGAAGCCTAGTGCATAGAATCATCTGGTGTCCAGGAATGACCAGGGGATATTTCCTCTGGCCAATTGCCCAGGGAAAATGAGGATCTCTATCCTGCTCAGCCAGGGCCCACGAAGCACCGGAGATGAGTGTGACCTGCCAAGATGTCAATCAACCTGACTACAAGACGTCAGAAAGCAAGACTCAGCCCTTGATGCACCCACTTAAACCAACCACCAGAGCCATCTTTGCTTTGTCTAGTTGCAGCACCCATGTGGACTAGATCTATCAGGGGCTTTGCTTTTGTAAACCCATTTCTGAATATTTGTGTTTTGTTATTCACTAATTATTCAAGACTTTAAGTTTTAGGGTGGCTTACGTCCTCCTGGGCAGGAAGAAGAACCCCCCAATAAGACGCTGGCCGTCACCTCCATTAATCAGCATTATCCAAGCCTCTCCCCTCTCTCAACATGATTTATTAAGGTAAGCTCTTAAAGAGAGGTCTTGTAACTAATTTTGTTATTTTCTATTACATTTCCACACTGTAGCAAGATTGCAAAAGAACTAAATCTTTTTAGAGGCTTCCCAGGCTACAGAGGAAAAAAGGAATAGTTTACACATGGACTTATTTCTTTTTAATTTGAAAAAATATAATTTGATATAATATCTTACATGAAATACATTTCAGATGATATTGAAATGTGCATATGTTAATATTAAGTAGACTTAAAATAGTCCTCAAAGAAAGCAAATATTTGTGATATTGGAAACAAGGTCATTCTGAACAAAATAAAACCCATGGTCCCATGAAGAAAACGTTTTATTGGGCACATAAAAAATGCTGATTATTCTATAGAAAACATAGTAATGAGTGAAAAAAATAACAAGCTGTGAAATTAAATATGTATCACAGAGGGAAAATTGGAAGCTGTAATTCCTATCAAAGTTGTCAAATGCAAGGGAAGGACTATCCCCCCAATAAAAATTAAGAACAAACACATGAAAGTGTATTCAATACAATTCCTCCTAAAACAAGTAAATCAAAACAAAATCTCTTTTCCTCCTACCATATTGTATTATATATTTAAAAATCAGGTAACACCTACAGATTGGCAGAAGTTTGGGGAAATGAAGAATCTAAAATTTGAGAGTTTTCATATGTATAATATTATAGATGAAACTTTTATAATATACATAAGAAATTAACAATGAAATGGTTTAAGATCAGGGTTGCTCACCATTGCAAAAACAAGAGTAGAGAGGTATAATACACGGTTTCCATGTGCAAACGTGGACATAGGTTTAGTGAGGTTAAAGGATCCTGGGAACATCCATCAGTCACATGACTCAAAAATGACTTTTTCTCCACTAACTATTACAGAATCAAGTATAGCATAAGAAGAGTATTGAAAATAATTAAAAATTCAAACTGAAATGACAATTTATTACATCCAATGTGGTGCTTAAGTGTACTGGAAACTTCACAAGAACTGTTTTTGCTTTGTGATTTAAACTGTTATGTACTCATTCCTTGTGGGTCTTTTTTTTTTTTGAGACAAAAATTCCATGTCAAATAATAGCAAAAGCAGAGTCTACGCTCCCTGAGAACTTGGTGTGTACCCGTTGGTCACTTGTGTTCATTTTGTCAGCATTTCTGTAATACCTAGAAGCCACCCGGCACACAGCAGGCCGCCATAAGGTCGATGAAGGAATGAGCGAGCACACCGCCTGAAAATACTAGATCCAATTTCCCTAGACCATATGTCCTTGAGTCTTTCTAAATTAAAGGAATTCTAGAAGCTATTAACATTTAAAATTGACAGTTACGATAGCTACGCATATTGTGTTATTAGTATTGTTAGGTATGTGTTATATATACTATAAGTACTGATATACAAATAATTTTTTTAATGAACAATGCTAAAGATGGTTCAGGCCATCTGAAAGCTAACAGAATGTATAGTCAAATATCTGAGGTTGGGAGACACAAGGCATGTCTTTGGGCAGAAGTACAGGGGCCGTGGGGGTGTCGTGGTGCACGGGGACAACCTGCTCAGGGTTCTGGAGGCTCAGAATGGAGCTACAGGGATACCATGGATGGGTTCTGCACCTTGGGCAAATCAGTTGCATTTTCTGGTCCTCCTGACGTCATCTGTAACCCAAGAGGAGCAGAAGCACCCTCTGGTCCAGCCCGCTCTCACATTCCATGACTACTGAAAGCTTTTGCTCCTACTTCTAATCAGCCGAACTAAAAGGATGGGCATCGTAATATTTACACAGAAATTGGGAATGTTGCTCATAAAGATTTAAATGATACAGGCACTTTAAAATCATCACTTTTTAAGGTGTAAATAAGGTCATATTGGCAAATGATTAAGTTTGGCCACCAGTCCCTGCTGAGTGGGCTGGCCTGAGTGGGCTGGCCTTGTGCCCAGGCCCTGGCTTCTGCCCACCAGATCTGAGTCCTTCCCCTCACACCGGCAGCTGCAGACCTGTCTCAGATGTGGGGACTGATTTATTTAGGAATTAATAACTTTTTAAATCAGATGATCCCGAATTGAGCTCCTCTTTGTCCTGGTCCTCTGTCCTTGGTCCCTGTCCTAGAGCGGAGCTTTGCTTCTTAGTTTGCCTGGTTTTCCTTGTGATTGCTAGAACCAGCAGGTGGATATTTTCCTGCACCGTTTGAAGTCACGTGTTCTAGGGAAAACACAAACATTTCACATCTCGTTCTGTGAAGATATCCCAGCTTGACTTCAAAGTGCATATGACTTTAGGTGAACACCTTTTTTTGAAAAAATGTAATGCTGAATGTAAAAGGTCATTTAGAAAATGACAGCGATATATTACCTATGTTGAGACGGAAAAGTTTTACACATATACATATATATATATATATATATATATGCATATCTTGTGTGTGTACACACTCGCAGAGCCAAGCAAACCACAATGACATTTCAGTCTACCACAGAATGCATGCATGGTAGCGTTCCCCTGATGTCACAATGGAGCTGAGACCTCCTGTCCTCTGGTGGTGACGTTGCCGTGGCAGCACCACAGCACAGATCTTGCTCCTGCCTGTATGTGTGTGGAGTTCCTGAAGTCAACAGACCCATGTGCTGTTGTGGTAAACCACATCATGGACTCGCGTACTTGCCGTCCTTCCTTCTATCATCATCCTAGAGGACACCCCTAAAAGCTTTGTGCAGTGTTTATACCAAGAATTAACAGCAGGTACTTGAGGAGGGATCTAGAGGAAGGCGTTGCCTTGGAGATGGCCACAGCTCCATGGGTGTCCCTGTCCTGGAGACCTTGCAGGGACACTAGAAGCAGCAGTTGAAAAGGATGATCTTGTACAGGCCAAAGCTGGAGTGGGTGTGTATGTCTTAGTGACTAACAATGATGAAAACCCAAAAATATATCAAAAAATAGAAAAAACCTATAGATTAAGGATATAATGAAAAAAATATTCCATAGTTATCCAGTGAATTTGGTTTTAGCTACAAAAGAATCAGAAAGTTTAGAAAATTGAAACATTTATCATATAAAACATTTACTATACTAAAGTTAACTTACAGGAAAAAAAAAAAAAACTGTGAATCTAAGTATCTGAGTTTTCCATGCTGATAGTCTGCGGTGATATGGTTACCACCACGTGGCTTCTGCATTCCCTCCCTCTGCAAGTGCTCCGTAGAGTGACTGCTTTGTATCTTTTGTATTTTTCCTGTGCTCGTTCTGTCTTTAGTATTGCACATAGCCATCTTCCATCCTGTCACAGGTGCCCACACAGCCCAGTGTGTGTGGCTACTCCATGAGGTTTCTGTGATCGTATCACCCAGTCCACCCAGTGCAGGGCCTAATGATGTGTTTCTCCATATCCGTGCCACTGGGCAACATGACTGCACACACATGTACAAACACATGTGATATGCATATACACACACTTTTTAAAATCTTACATTTAAATATGACAAAGTAACAATTCCTGGATATTTATTAGGCAATATTATATAGGACAAAAATGGTAAACTCTGTCTTTTAGCATATTTTTTTTTCTTTTCCTTTTTTTTTTTTTTTTTTGGTACTGGGGATTGAACCCAGGGGTGCTTAACCACTGAGTCACATCCCCAACCCTTTTTATTTTGAGACACGATCTGCTTTGGGTCTCCTTAAATTTTCCAGGCTGACCTTGAACTTTCGATCTTCCTGCCTCAGCCTCCTAAATCTCTGGGATTACAGGTGTGCACCACCACACCTGGCTTAGCATAACTTCTTTAAAAAAGAGAAGCACAAACAGAACTTGACTCAGAAGTGAAGTAGATGAATATTATACATAATACAAATGTAAAAAAGTAGGAAAGATCTAGAATTATTTAAAGCAGAATGTGATCCATCTTATATCTATTGCACCCACAATTTGGGCTCCATTGTAATTCATAAAGCCCCCTCTTCAGCTCTGCAAAACGTTCTGTTCAGGATGCTAACCACTTGCTCACTGTAGTGAAGCGTTTACAGTGTTGGAGGAATGGCCAAGTCCATGGCAGAGGGTCACTGGGGGAAGAGTCCCTCTCTCTCCATCCCTACCACACTACAAAGGATTGCACAGAATTCCACTGACTTGTCCCTGACCAGTGCCTGGTGGCTTTCCCACAAGTGGGGTGTAACTGAGTCTCGCCCTGCTGTGGAACCCGGCCCCTGGGCCCCTGGAGACACACTGTTGGGTCTGCTCTAGCCCATGTGACCATCCAGTGCACTGTTCCCATGTTTTAATTTTATCTCTCCTAGGGAGGGTGATATTTCAAAGACAAGCCATGACCTTGGTTAACCATGCAGGTCAGAGGCCCCACGGAAAGGTAGATCTGCCTGCGGTCCTCTGCCTTCTCACTGGGGATGGAAATCATTCAGGGCAAATTCAGACAGCATAAATTGAGAGTATAGCACCTCTGAACGCAGAGGATTTGCATTTGTTCTATGAGTTCATTTAGCATTTTCCTAATTCCTTAGAGCTTTGCATTTCAGAGACAGCCGGCTCAGTGTGAAGTCTATGAAGCTGTTCCAGAATTATCCAGCCGAAGGATTGAGTAACAGATGGCAATAAACACACTCTAATGGGCTGTAGTTTGTTTTATTTTATTAGACCAAGGTTATGGCCACAGTTATGAACTTAATCTGCCTGTTTTTATGGCCATGATAGTGGCTACGCTGCATTCCTATCACCAGCTTTGCTGAGTCCAAAGCCTGTCCCTGCTTAGTGCATCTAAGAAGTGGAGCAAATGACGAGTTGAGTGCAGCATCTGGCCAATCTGGAGATCAAGGGGACTTCTACGTCAGTGGCATGGGGCACAGGCTGCACAGGCTCATGATCAAGTTTGATACATCTCGAGAACCAAAGAGTGAAGTGATGATCTTTCTCAAATCATGAAGGCGTGTTAGATATATTCATTATGAACTCAATTCAATCTAGAAAAGGGGAAATGGCCACAGGAAAAGCTGGAAAGGCTACGAGAAATGAAGAGAATCTGATCATGTTACATGGTCTCGACTTTGTCAAAAATTGGTTGAGGGCTAGGGGTGTGTCTCCGTGGTAGAGTATTTCCAAGGCACATGTGAGGTACTGGGTTCAATCTTCAGCACCACATAAATATAAACAAACAAAATAAATGAATTGTGTCCATCTACAACTAAAAATATTTAACAGAGACTGATTGAACAAATTCTTTAATTTCCAATTGGGTGTATTGTGTTTCATTATTAAAATAAGTTGGATGAGGCATTCAATCCAAGTAGATGTAGGAAAACTGAGGCTCTCAGTAATATACTGAAGTATATTACTGAGAAGTATTATAGTAGAAGTAATATACCAGAAGTATTAAATTATTGTTCATCACTTAGAACATGTATTTTTATGTACAAAAAAGTAAATGAGGGCTATTTAGGGTAGTCTAGGAAATTCTATTTAATCAATGATAGAGCAAAATTTATACAATTAGTATCATTGATTGCAACAATAGCTTGAACTCCCTAAGACTCTCCGGCTTGCTCATACAAAGACCCACTAAACGTGTTTATTTCTTGTGCTGAGGAACTTCTCTTTTTCTCACCACCACTACCTGCTTCTGATTACCTTCACCTACAGGTGCCCTGATACTAAGAAGGGGATGCATTGGATACTGTTCATGAGAATCATGCTTTGATATTTTTAAAATTTTTTTTGTAGTTGTTATTTTAATTTTGTTTTTATTTTGATGTTGTGCTAAGGATCAAACCCAGTGCCTCACATGGGCCAGGCGAGTGCTCTGCCACTGGGCTACAGCCCCAGCCCTGCTTTCGTATTTTGATGTGTGCATCAATTCTTATTGCTTGGTTGGAATTATTTAGGACCTGAGATTCAAGTAAACTGTGATTTTACTAACAGATATGATTTTTAACTTTAAGCTACACTATTAGGAACATAACCCTGTGAACTTTAACGGCATCCATCTCCTCTCTGATGTGTTTCTTTCTTAGCTGAAACACCCAGCATTGTAGACATAAAGACACTGCAGGTTTTCTCTCTAAAGGGCAACCACGTACGGTTGCACCTTCATATGCTTTATTCTAGAAAGCTTACTTTTATTGAATCAGAAATGTCTGGGTTTATATTTTCCACTCACCAGTGTCTCTCACAACAATGAACCAAGGAAGCATAGATGACTCTTGATCATATGGGCCTATTTTGTTGAGGCTGTCTAAAAATAGTGAAGATTTTCAGTTAAAATGCTAAATATTTCCCAATTTATGATAGTTTTAAAACAATTGTTTCATATGTGGTTTTAATAAAGGTGATCAAATTCACAAGTTGCTTTGAAGAAGCTCACTTTCTTTATCTACCCTTATTTCCTAGGTCTCGTAACAGCTTTTTGAACTTACCGTTTTCCCTGATGGAGTTTGTCTGTGAAGACTGGTCAAAGAGGGTTTGTTTATGCTTTGCTCTCTGACACATGTCGTGTGTTCTTGACCCTGTGTTTCCTGTAACGTATTATCAGGAAGGAAGGGTACTGGAGGTGGGAGTGAGGTATGAGAAAAAAATAGATCAAGTGAGGCAGAAATTGTAGGAAGTAAAGAGGCTTCTCGATAATGCAATGAGGCGTACAATGAAGCATTTAAGAGAATGAAGAAATAAGGATCTAAGGTGAACGATCATGCAGAGTCTATTTAGAAAGACTGAATAAGTCCAGTTTAGCAAAGGTCAAAGTTTAATCTTTCATTACAGTTAAACATATGATAGAAAACTGGAAGGGCGACTAGTGAAAAATATAGAATCCCAAGCTTAAGTGCAAATATTGAATCTCAAGAATAGTGGGGTTCCATGAACGCATCTGAATAGGCCAGGAACACCGTGCAGCTATTATGAAGGTATTAAAATAATTCAAAACCAAAAACTTTTAATGCCTTGAATTAGGATGATGGTGCAGCTTTATCATAGTGACAAGGGTTAGTTCGACAGGGATTCCCCTAAGTTTCCTCCTCCAGGGTAATGCTGCGTCGTGGTACATGGCAAAGTCGCATTGGTATGCCAGGGAGGAGTCTACTGTTTTCTCACATCTTCCAAATAACATTCCACAATTTCAACCAGCTCCACATCCTAACACACACTCAAGGTGTCTGGGGGTTGCATTGGTGTGTGAGGCTGGTGGAATATTATGCATGCTTTGCATACAAAGTTCTATCAATGCAGAGTAAAGTGCATTTAGAACTTGTCTACATCAAGACCTGATACAAAATTTATGATATTCGACTAATTTAGTAGGTTATTATTTATTACAAGTGCCTAAACACCCCAAAGTTGGAAAACCTTCATTCCAGCACACAGCATCTCCATTTAACAGGTAAAGTAAAAGCTGATAGCTGCTCTCCTAGCTAGGGCTGAGTGGCTGTGCTACATTCTCTCTGTGTGAGGTAGCCTGTGTGCGTGCTGGCCCCTGGACCAAGCGTGGCTTCCCTTCCAGGCTTTCATCATATTCTACAAAAGTTTTGGTTGATAATTCATTTCTTTCAAAACCGTTAACCACAAGGAGCAAGATAAATATTTTTTAAAGTGAAGTTTAATGTATAGTGTCTGCACACACTTATTTTTACCTCTTTTGGCAATGCTTAAAATAGCCATGTTTTGCTTTCCTCATAGCATTCCTGTAAAGTTCATCTTTTATAGTAAAATAAAACACTGGCAGTAGTAAGTTATAAAGATTAGTCTTTTTCCCCCAGTTCAGTCAGTGTGTATTTGCGAGTTCACACTTTTAAGAACGCGGTTCTTTGTGATCCCTGACCGAAATTTATACTTGAACCAGAATAAACCAACATATGGCAAATCAGAATTTATTTACTACATGTCATCTCACAGAAGAGCATTCATTTTCTCTGGCGCTAGGCCACATGATAAAATAGCTTGCAAAATTTTATATCATCTGTAAAATCCACCTAGACGAATCTAATACCAACACATTAAGTATTCCTAAAAACGTAAAAACACAGTGATTTAAAACTATATTTTCCATCTATTTTCATTTAAATGAAAATAAACACAGATGAGTTTCTTTTCTTTCAGTATCAGGTTACTCAAATGAAAGGGCAGTTGTCTATGTGAGACTCTGTGGGTGCACGTGTCCCAGGATATTCACATTCTTTGTACTGTTGTGCTTTAACTGAAAATATTCAAAATAAAACCCATAACATTTCTCTGTTGCTTTGCATCCCTCTGTTAGCCTGTGTATTCTCTGAATGGAGAGGTTATTTTTATTAGTTCTCTTGCCCTTAAGCACAGCGCAGTAGTTGACAATCAGTGCTCTCTCAGTAACTGTCATTGAATGAACAAATACAGACACAGTGAAAACTGGGCTTGTTGTCTATATGGCTGCTCCAGAGAGGCCCGAGGCTTGATTTTACATTTATTCTGCTACCTCAGCAAGACCATCTACCTTTTGTGGGAGAATAATAATAGAATTCAGTCCATTTTTTTTTAAACGGATTTTATTTGGATAAGTGACTGAAGGAGTCTTGTTTGCAACCAGGATGGCTCTCTGTACAGGAATTTGCAAATAGATGTCAACATATATTACTTTCCACGTACATTTCTTCCCCTCTCCCAAGAGGAAACAGAAGTAAGCCATCCAACCAGGCCACCCACTCTGTGGGTGCACGTTTAACACAAAGGCTGCAGATACCTATGAATCGAAAAGGTGGTTCATCTGACCTACGGGGTCTCATGGGGAGAAGACCACTGAATGACCACCATGAGAGCAGCTTGACCGTGGACTATTTAAAACTGAGTTCCAGGAAAAACAGGCCCTGACTTCCAGAAGGAAAGTCACCCCTTACTGAAGCTATCTACTGAGCCAATATGGCTGGTTAACACTTTCACTGGCATAAAGTAACCCATACAGGACTCTCAGACGACTTTAGCTGAAACTGCACCCTAAGACTGCAGGAGGCACTGCCAAGCCACACTGAGGCCGGCTCTTCGTCCTCCAGGTGTGAGGACCACCCAACTTCACCAGGGATCTGGCCTCTCCTCTCCTTACCGCCACTGTCTGGCGTTACACAAGGCCCCCCTGCTGACCCACTCAAACTACTCTCCAAGTTAATTAGAAAAACTCTTGTTAAAAAAGAAACAAGAACAAAAGGTTTTGGGTTATCTCATCCAGGCTGCCCTCCCAGGTCCCCCAACAGGAGACAAGAGGGGTGGGGGGCATGGGGGAGGCACGGGCGGCTGTCCTCCAGGGGCTGGGC